CTGTGGCAGGATTTAGTAATTTTGGGTCCGTAGTCTGGCCCTAGATGTGTACACAAGTGTCATGGACTATCAAATTTTATTGTAATCGATGTAGTTTTTGTCCAGCTTTCAGAATATGTATCACTCGAAGAGTGAATCGGTCTGTGGCGGGATTTAGTAATTTGGGATCCGTCGATTGGCTCCAGATGTGTACACAAGTGTCATGGACTATCAAATGTTATTGTAATCGATGTCGATTTGCTCAAGCTACAAGAATATGTCTCGTTTGTGCCTGGATTCGCTCTGTGGCAAGTGCTAGGTAGTTTAAACAGGTTAGACCATGTACAATGTTGTCATAGACTGACATACATATTTTTATCTACTCGGCCTCGTTATTGTGGCTTTCATTCCGTTTTGCTATTTTCACCTTAGGTAATCGATGGTTTTTTAGAGATAATCGATGGTTTTGCGAGATAATCGAGGCGCGGTCAAATATAAAATCTGCTGGGGCCATCTCCGATAAATTATATTATTTTTCGAAAATAATAGCATCCTAATCGTATGTGATATAAATGGTTTGACTTAAGATGTCATGCCGCCTACCCGCTTTTGTCCTTGGACACACACGCGTCAGCCTCGATTAGGCGGCAGTAACCTGGGCGCCAGCTAGCGATTATCCGAGGCTAATCGCTGGTTGGCGCCGCCTAATCGAGGGTAAGCGACGCCGCCCGGCGGACTTGTAGCCGGACAAAGACGATGATGCATGGCTCATAGATGAGATAGAAGGTCCCTCTATCCCTCTCCACGGCGTTTCGTATCCATTTGCCATGCCGTTTGGTTATACGGTAGTCCAACGCGCCTCCTCTCCACGACACTTCAATTTGCCAGCGCTCCCTCATCATAGGGCTTCGATGCTAGCAGAAAGAGCGAAGTTGGATACAAATCAGGTCATGCTCTACGTCCGACCAACGACGCTCGTTTAGAAGCCACGCACCGTACCGGAGTGGTTCGCACGAAAGAATCTGAAGGAGCGTATACTTTGACGACTGCAACTTTTTCAATTTCTCGCGGTATTAGCCACTACGCCACGCTTCAATGTTATACGGTGAAGAGGCTGCGTGTTAAGTCGCGCAACAACATCTTTCACTGGACCAACTATCGTATCTGGCGCGCGGATCACCTCAGAGCGGGCGTCCGAAATGGCGCGTTGTTGACGACCACGGGTCGTACTTGGTCGAAAGTTTGACGGGCTCGTGCGTCGCTTTTGTCTGCCGAGAGATCGGAGCAACGATGCTCTATTGAGGGGCTCGCATAAGCCAAGCGCATGTCACCTTCCTGTACATGGCTCGCATACCTTGGGCGGTCCGAGTCGGGCTGCGCCGCCGAACGCCGACGTAATGAAGAGCGGCCCTTCTGGAATCGAGTGTGGCATCGTGTCATGTCGTGGTCTTGGTCGGGGCACGCTCAGCGGTGAGCGCGGCTTGGGCCTCCTTCGATAGTCGGACACAGGAGGGCGCCGACGCTAGCAGGTTGCCCATGCTCGCTGCGTCGAGGACCCGCCGTGTATGTCGTAGGCCTCGCCCCATCTACATAGGTAAGCCCGTCAGTACCGGTAGGCACGGCGCGGCGATCATGATCGTACCGATGAGAGCACCGTTGTGTTCGGTGCACGCCGCAAATGTCGAAATGATTGGTCGGCGGAATATGTGACGTATTGGCGGGGCGTCTCATGTTGGAGCGCTTACTAATCGATGGGTTGCGAGCTAATCGATGGAGATAGCTCGACCAATCACAGGGCCCCATTTTGGTCCCTCTTTTTGGCAGAGTCAGCTTATCACATTTCGGAATATATTAAATCTTGACAGGTTTCTTGGCAAAAAAATATTTTCTCTCAAGCCTCGATTAGCCGCTCAAAACGGAATGAAAGCCACAATAATACCTACGCAACGAGGTAAAGCTTGTTCACGTACTCGCTCTGTGGCAAGTGCTAGGTAGTTTAATCAGGTTTGACCATGTACAATGTTGTCATATAGTTTAATGCACATCTTGGCTCGATTCGCCTAGGCAAGACCGAGCTATCCATGTAAGACTTGTGCAAGGACTCGATCTGTGGCCTGAGCTAGGTCGTTTGAAGTGGTTACTATGAGTGCACTCCACGAAGGTAGGTACTCCGAGCTGCTTATGCTGGATATCGCACTCATGTACGCGAGATAGAAGCGTTCGTTCAAAGTCACTGCTTGCCAGAGGTGAGGATATAGGGACTGGTGTGATGATAACACATTTGTGACATACGTTGGACTGTGACTCATCTGTGACATACGTTGGACTGTGACTCATCTGTGACATACGTTGGACTATGACTCATCTGTGACATACTTTGGAATGTGACGTATCAGAAACAGACCTCGGACTGTGACTCATAAGTGACTGACGTCGGACTGTGACTCATTCCCGCCAGACCACCGACTGTGCCTTATAACAGACAGTGGACTTGATATCTCAATATTGGACAGACACGATATAACATTGATACTGCAATCCTCACACTACTCCCACAGCTCTACCACGTTAAATTGTCTCGTGATCGGCATCTTTGAATTTGTATCTGTACCAAGAAATGGACTTGATTGACGCAGTGCAGCGCTCGTGGTTGTTGAGTTTATATCAAACTTGTACAAGCTGTCTTTCGTAAGATATACTGCTGTCGACGTTTAATTTATGCTTCGTCGTGATGCAAGCAAAATTTTTGAAACTAGCGTGAGCCCAAGTGACGATCAAATCGTCAATATGGACATCAACAATCGAAAAAAAGAGATAGCAAATCGACCCAGACCCAACTTGGGAACATTTCGGTACATTCGCGACAATATGCGTAGTCTTTGTAAGGAAGATAACGCGGAACCCGTTGATTTGTATATATGCGCAAATAGCGAGTTACTCTCAACATTTGAAACTAGCGTGAGCCCAAGTGACGATCAAATCGTCAATATGGACATCAACAACTGAAAAGAA